TATAGTAGAAACCACGAGAGCTGGCAGTGACAGATCGCTTAAAAATGGTATGAATCAAGATATGGACGTACGACTTAGATTATTTCACCACATACATTTAAATGTAGGTTATGTTAGTAATGGAGGTTATATGTCAAACATTGTCAAAGATATTATTTAATGATTTTCCTTTCAAAGAAAACATTTTCGGCTTGTGAAAACACTAACAGATTCATGACAACGCTCACAAGACGTTTCGATTTGAGGTTATAATTATAGAGTTACATCCCTTAGAAGAACAGACGTACTTTTTCGACGTGGCCATTTGAATTGTACAGCAGACATATTAAACTAATGCTATCTCTTTCTAACACACATTACTCTCTAGCGGTTTGTGAACTACGTATGGCATTTGTAAGAGCGGAAAATGATGATTTACTGCCAGCTCTCGTGGCGTCTACTATATCAATCATTTTTCAAGAAAATTCGACAATTTCGTTATAATTAAAAAAAAACATGGAAATTTAGAATAAAACATGGTGACATGAAAAAAATAATAACAATAAGTACAAAACACATATTATGTAATGTAATTACTACAGAAATGAAAACTATTCTTATACACTAAGTTTTCAATAAAATAATAATGGCCTGTGTATACATTTTTTTTAAATTTCAATATACACTCTAAAATCTTTAAACAAAACGAGTATAATCATTATCGGCTAGTACTCTAAGAGTATTCGTCGCACAGCTGTCCCACTGTGCGACGGCTGCTTTTGAAGCCCTACTCGGTCTCACACCACTTCATTTATATATACAAAAGGAGGCAGCTATAAGCGCCTTATCACTGAAAACATGCTCTTCACTGAAGCTGATGCAAGGTAACCTCAGAGGACACCTCAAAATCCTCATGGACCCATGTCTAAATCACTTGATTGAAATTAAAACGAACCTTATATCGACAGAATACAATTTCGACCAGCCATATTTAAGGTCATATTTAGAAACAGGGATGATTGGACGAAGGGTGGGCCTCAATTAAACAGTGGAGCCCTTGCCTGATACACGGATGCTTAAAAGACAGTTGGATTCGGAATATGCATGGGCATTAGTGGCCCAAATAGCCGCATTAAATGGCCCATGAGCTCGGGCATAACCATATTTCAAGCAGAAATACTTGCTATAAACTTCTGCACCTACACGTGTGACTCCGCACTGATCAGAGAGTGTACCAGCAACCTGAGAAAACTCTCTAAGGGCAATGATGTTACTCTATGGTGGGTTCCAGGTCACAGAGACATTAAGGGCAATTAAAAGGCGGACAAGCTGGTCAAAGAGGCAGCGAAAACACCCTTCATTGGACCCCAACACGGTTGTGAACTACAAAAAAGCCACCTAAAACAAGTAATCAACAGTTGGGAGGCCTCAAAGGTAGCCTTATGCCAGAAAGGACTTCCAAGTCACAGACAAGCGAAAAACATGATAACTCCGTCGCAAAACAAAACCAAAGAGGTTTTACGCCTCAGCAAAGGGGATCTAAGGATGCTCTCAGGTTTCCTGGCCGGCTATGCGCCCTTAAAATACCACCTCTTCCACATTGGACAAGCTGAGGATCAAACTTGTTGACTTAGTTGCCAGAAGCCGCCAAAGACACAACATTTTCGGTAAAGCTTTTTGACACCTATCGACATATGTAAGGGAACAAAACCTTGGAGCAATATTAGACGAGAGGGGAGGGCAGCCCGGCAATAATAATAATAATAATAAAACAAGCGAGATTTTACATTTACTGTAAAATTTAATTTGGTTATCATAGTATTAAATAAACAATTCTCTGAAAAATGTTTGGATTTAAAAAATAAAAACTTTTGTTGAAAAAGTTTGATTATTTTTGTTGACCTATGTACAGTAACGTTACCATAGCAATAAAAAAATTAGAAAGGAAATATGACGTTTAATCTAACCTATAATTTGTATAGATTTTTATAAAAAATTATTAATATAGAAAAACAATGTATTCGCTTAATATCGACAATTAAGATAAGCCAATTTAATAACAAGTTTTTATTAATAATTACCTTTATAAATATCACTGCGAAATTACAAAGAAAGCAAGATTAGATTTGGTGATTTTTATATTGATAGTTTGGTATTTTGCATAGCAACAAAAAAAATCATATTTTGACGTATAACACTTAACCTATAAAAAACGTTATGTTGCAAAGCCTAAGGAAAAATGTAATTTTTTATTATTGATTTAATTGAATGTGCTTTATTAATAATTGCCTTTTAGAGTAATAAACAAGATTTGGTAAGTTTAATGTTAAAAATTTGGTATTAGCTGGTGAGCTCCAAAGTGGTGCTTTCACAGGTGTCGGTGCGCATGCGCATCACCTCCGCACAGATATAAACATATGTACGGGGCATACGTCACGGACGCGTCACCAAAATTTGTAGAACTCACGCTGCGAACTGTTATTCGTGGCCACATCATTTTAAAAGAATCATCAGAATGGAGTTAGTAAATAATATAATTAATAACCAACTGGTGTTATGTATTCCGGTAGCGTTGGTTCTGGTAGGGGCAGTGCTTGTGTTTGCATTCGGTTTTAAATCGGCTGAACAACCACCGTTCGAAAAAATCGCGTCCATAGTCACAGATGATCGGAAAACGTCCGGCAAAAAGCGAAAACCAAAAGAAAAGGTGAGTGTAGGGGTCATCGTTTCCGTTTTAGCATTGTTATGAGAGTCGGTTCACACGATCGTTTCCTACGAAATTTACCAATAATTCAAAACCATATGTTGCACAAAATTTTGATTAAAACCTAAACAATTTATTTCCTTTATTTTTTTTGTTGATATTCTAGAAACCCACGTTAAACGGACACGTGGTAAATACTGAGACAAAATCGGAGAAATCCTCACCTTCAAAAGAGGCGAAAAAACTCAAAGAATCCGAACAAAAGAAAACTGAAACTCCAAAACAAGAAAAGAAAAAACCGGAAACTGTAAAACCCAAAATTGAATCTAAAAAAGTTACCAAATCTAAAGCTGTTAATGAAAAACCCGTCGATTTTGATGAAGGAGATTGGGAAACTGTACCAACAAAGGGGGATAAGAAGAAAAAACAGGATAGCCCTGTTAAAAAAGAAAATAAAAAGGTTAAAAAAATTAATGAAATAGAAATTACCAAAGAAACTGATATTGAAAAGAAAAATCAAGTTGAAAAGAAAGATCAAGTTGAGAAAAAGGACACTTTTGAAAAAAAAGAAATTCCTGCAAAGAAAGAAGTTGTAGTTGAGCCGGAAGTTAAACAAATCATTGAAGTTGTTGCTGTTGAAGAGAAAAAAGAAAAGAAAGATAAGAAAAAGAAAGAAATTCCAAAGGTGGAAAAAACTGAAACTCCTAAAGCAACTAAAACTGTTGCTCCTCCTCCGATTGATCCTGAAGTTCCTGTTGAAAAACCCCAACCTGCTACTAAAGAAGAAACTAATGGTGGTGTTGCCTTTGATGAATTAGGAGGTAAGACATTTTTTTGTCATCTTTATAATATATTTAGAGGTTTATCTTGAACATTATTTATAGAATTTGAGCTCTAGATATCTACAATATTTTTTTGTGTGCTTATAAATGAATATAAATGTAAAACTTAATTACAATTCAAAGAACTAACTCTACATCTAAAAATAAATCCTACATTTCTGATTAATACTTGGAATAAAAATAGATTGGATTCGTAGTCTTTAATTCTCCAGGTTCTCTTGGTTCAATAAACAACAAAAATATTAACTATTAATAAATAGATAACATTTTTTCTCATAGTTCTTATCAACATTTTTATAACAAAATTTTATTGATAATAATAATAAAAACTTTATCTTATTAATCCATCAATATATTATTTAAATTTTTTCTAGATGTTTGGACAGAAGCGAAGGGTCAAAAGAAAAGCAAAAAGAAGTCGCGCAGGGATAATTAAAAAAAAAATTAAAAGATTTTGATGGGGACATACACTACAAGTCCCAGACCAGAGGTCAGGTATATAAAATGCAATCATTCGCGCGTCAAGAGACACCAGATCTCAGTGTAAAGTATATTAAACTAAAAAAAAGACTTACAACAGTAGCTTATACAATAAAAAAAAACTGAATCCGCGTTTACAAACAAAAAGAAAACCCGCAACGCATCACCCTTAAAAAAAAAAAACGTCCTTTGGGTGGCCCGTGGCGTGTTTTCAATTTGTAATCCTTGCAAAAAAAAAGCAGCAAGACACGTTTTGCATTCCAAACCATAAACAAAACCTCTTAATTGATATAATAAAGAGCGAAAAAGAGAAAGGATGTGGGTGGATTAAGGTGGGAGGGACAGAATTGAGAGCCTACAATTTTTAATATTCGTGCCAATGTGATTTTTATTTTAAAAGTTAAGAAAGGTAAAAGTGAAGCTAAAAAATTATAAAAACGCGAAATAAATTTTACTAATAAAACTATCCAATGAAAACAATGGCCTTATGTCTTTTATGGTGTTGAGTATATTTGCGGAGAATAGAAGAGAATATTTTTACTAGCGTCTATTTTGCTAAAAGAAAAAGAAAAAACGAGCAAATATTAAGTAGATTAATGTCTTCCATTGCCTTTTTGTATTTAAAAAAATTCTTTTGTTATTTTTTTAAACGTTTTATTAATTTGTTTTTTATACCTTATTATTAGTACTTTTAAATTCTTTTTAAGAATTACTCACGGTTCTCTAAATGGTTATAAGTCACTTTATTTAGTTGTATTAAAAATTTATTAATTGATCTGCGTATAATTAGAACTTTACATAAACTTAGATTATGCAGTAATAAAGATTAAATGGAGTTAAAGATAAAATGAGAAAGCGTATTAACACCCTTTTTTTATGAAATTGTTAAAGATAAAACAAGAACAAGGTATAAGGAGCATTAAGTGTTGAGATAAAAAAGATTTATTTTGAATGCATTAAAATAATATACCCGCCAGTACAATTGAGATTGTTATTGATAAAAATAGGATGAGGAATGCATATTTTTTCTTTCATACTGCGAAAATTTATTTTTAATGAGTTTATAAATACAGCAAGTTTTCTAATCTATTTCTTAAATCTCCGCAGCAGCTCACTAAGTACAATAATTATTATCACAACATCACCACTCATATTTTTACTTTTTTACTGTTTTTAGACTCAGGCTTTATTCGTCTTATTTCATTTTTCATTGAATCTGAATAATTTTGATGTTCCTTTCTGTTGCTCTCTCCCTGTTGGGTTACTTAATATCAGCATTCGATTTATCAGTTCTTTGATAAGAAAGCTATCTTAAGTTACAAACCTCATTTCTTGCTAATTTCGTATTTAGTTTCATATAAGAGTAAAAAGATTAACTTTACCACCATGGGATTGACAAAGAGTGCTTCTTATTCACATCATTGCTTTTCATGTAATTTCACGAAATTGGGATGTAACACAAACATCTTATGAAATAAATTAACTTTCTCAAAATTCATCTGACTCCATCGTCACAATAAGATGTGACTTACCACCATTTAGAGTACCCATTTCTATCTTGTTTCTTAGTAATGCGTCAAAAAATAACTTATTGATCAAAATTATTGGAATTGTGGGTGTGATTTGTAAAAATAAGTACAGGGTTGTTTTCCTGTGCGTATTTTCTTGTATAAAATTGTGCAATAAATTTAATTTTTTCATTAAAACATACTCATTCGATTACTTTGTGCTGAATACGCAAAATTTTTGATAACATGTTTATCAATTTAATTAATTATTACATGGTGGTCTAATTATAAGTTTAGATTCGTGAATATTATTTGTTTATCCTTGAGCAGCTCTTTACCAATCTTAAATCGCAGGCGAAAATAATGATATCATATTCTCTTTTAAAAATAAATTAGCTTCGTTTCTTTTTTTAACTAAAAATATGATGTAATAGTGTGTTTATATAAATATGTATATTAGTACATAAAATACATATTGTGTATTTATAATAATTGATGAATTAATTAATAATTGTGTAGAAGTTTTTGTTATTTGCTATAAAATATTTTATTTCTTTAAATTAATTAAGTTGTTTTTATTCTTGCTCTTTTTATTTGTGTTTATTTAATGGTTAATGTACATATTTAAGTTTTCAAGTTTATTGTATTTTAAAAAAAACGTCACATCCTAAGATGAAAAACTTTAACTAAGAAGATTTTTTTATAATTTTCCATAAAACACGATAGGTGAATCATATAGGTTTCTATTCTATTTAAGATATAAGTGGTGTAGAATTAAGCGGAACATTTTTTCGTATGTGTGTGCGTATCTTTTTCTGTCCTTTTTAAACGTTTAGGTGCTGCGAAAGTACACGTTCTTAAATGTGCATTGAAATTTATATGTAAATATTAATTGTAAATTATTTTTTAATAACTAAGGTCTGTGGATTGTTATCATTTGGGGACCATTTGAATATATATTTTAAAAAGTGTGCCAACATCGTTTTCTAATTATATCTCCAATAAGTCCCTATCCCATACTAAATTTAAACCAGCACATTAACTTACATTCGGTAATTAACGGCCGGTTTCTTGGACGGCGATCAAAATAGGAAAATAGTAACGTTCCAAATAATAATAGACAAGATTTATTAGCTTATTGTATTTTATTATAAAATTCGTATTTCACGTCTAATATTTACTAAAAATTTTTGTGCAATGTTTTTGTTTATTTTCTTGTTGTACTTTTCTTTGGAGATTTACTGGGACTTTTTTTTCGTGATTTACTCTTTGAACGTCCTTTTCGTTTTATTTTTTTCTTCTTTTTTGTTTCGGATGATGTTACTAAAGTTTTTTGAACTGTTGTTGATGACTCAGGTTGTCTTGCAAAGTAATCATAACCAAATTGCATACATACTTTACCTGCAAAAGAATAACTTCAAACATTTTTCAATAATACTATTAGGAGTGGAAATCTTAAACGTTAATATCTAACCCTATTGTTTACTTTAGCGATGATATTTTCATCTTTATGGCTGTATTAAGAAGCATAACCTGAGATATTGGGGTCACAACAATCCAAGAAAAATCCAGCAGAAGCTT